GACAAATACTCTACATGTAATGCACCTTTCTTTCCAGTTCAGATTGTTAAGAAAAGAATTAGTTGTGACTAATTGCCAATTAATTTGCAGTGGTTTTAGGGAGGAGGGAGAAAAAAAACAATTGCACCTACTAATTAAAATTTGAAATATTCTGAAGTGTCATCTTTAGGTGTCTGTGGAATACATAATTTCCATTTTTGTTCTGCCCTGGATCTGTAACAACCCAAAGCTTGACAGCTCTATTAATTTAAAACCTCAGTGATACCTATTAGTACAAAACATGAAAAAAATGCCATTAGTCATTTATTTTAATTTTGCAGCTCTGTCATTTTCTCAGTATGTTTAAAAATTATGATGACACCGTAATGTTTTCCAATCTACCTGTGTGAAGGGGAAACGGATCATACTACTTAGGAGAGAGACTAGAGTATATTATTAGAGTTTAATTAATGCCAAACTGATTAGATTTGATTGCACTCTGCACAATAATATTGTTAAGAAATTTGTTTAAAAGATGTGTTGCATAATGCTATATTTAAAACAACTGATCTAGACCTGAGAGATTTGACAAAAATGTCACATAATGCAAGTCTCAGGTTAATTTTTATACCACTGCCTACATTCAGTCACCCAGTACAGTTCTTGATCATCTACAAGAAGATAAAAGTGTTTGCCACTCCTGTGATACAGAAGTGTTGCATCCATCAATTTCCTGTAAAGGGGATGGCAAAGAGCATCCAAACTGGAAAATCCTTTATACACTCAAACCTGTCAACAGCAAAATCTTGCTCATAACATGGAAAAAAAATGACTATAAACTAGCAAATCCAATCTTTTTTTTTCCCCCCAGCTAGACTTTAGCGTTTTTCTTGAAGAGTTTACTTAGGTTTTTGTTTACTTATTTGTTTTAAGATACTTTGAGGGTTTTTTACCATCTCTTTATCCATAAAATACAGAGTTAATTTTTCAATATTAATTGAACTATTAAAAGCACAGCTGATTGTCTCCATTCTCAGTTTTATATTTTTAATTAGCATTGCAGCTTGTAATTGTATTTCTGTGCTAATAGTAAGTATTTAGGCATTCTGTGAAGTCAGAAGCATAGAGAGAGCTAGCACACACTGTCAAAATATTAGCATATATGCAAAACTGATTGACCTTAAAGAGATAGCTTTTGCACTAAAAATGTTGATATTTGCAGCTTTTTATTGAGTGGATATGTTGTGTTAATGTGGCTTCGAGGCATATTTTGGAACTCTGACCTGCCCCAAAACAAATTTCAAATTAAGCATTTATAAATATAATTATGAATTTATAAATATTCTTCCTGCTCCTTTATAAAAAAATTCCAAGTAGAATGCAATACCTACTTCTTTCTCAAGAATTTTACTTTTTAATGAATCTTTTGTCCCTTCCCACGAATACATTGTTAGGCACACTTTCTAGTGATAGAAAGGTGACTTCAAAATTACAATAGCAATATTTTTATGCTAAGCGTATTTACCAGATAGAGCAGTCCTTTAAGTTTCTATGATCATGAATTCAAAGGCTGTAACCTTGTCTTTGGTTAGTGAATGAGACTTTTTCCAGTGACTTCAATAGATTGAGTTGTAAATATATGTAGTATATATGTCTATAATATTGTATATGAGGCTTTCAATTAAAAAAAAAAAAAAAAAAAAAAAGAGAGATCAAGATATATTAGCAATTCATGTGTCTATTTAATTTCTTCCTAAATGAAATTATGTTATTTACCATTTTTTTGTACTTTTAAATTTCTTCCAAATTTGTCAAATAGAAGTATCCTATTGCATTTTTCCTCTAGTAGCATTTCATTCACTTCTCTAGTTTATGTTTAAATTATCATCCATGCTTTCAGTCAACTTGGATAAACGATCTCTAAAATGATTTTCAAGTATTCCTGACTATTTGGCATGAGTATGTTTATCTGGATATCATCAGCTGCTAAAAATGTTAGGTTATGGTTTGAACTTTCTGTGTGTTTACTTCTGACCACTCTCTTTTTCTCTGGTTTTGTGTGCACATTGTGCAAGGAAATCACAGGTTCACCATAGAATAATGAAAAGCAACAAACTATTACATCTTATTCAGAGCTTTTTAAAGCTTTAAAAATTGTGCTTCTCATAATAAAGACACGATGTAACTTGCAGGAGAGAATAAATCCATGTGATGAAAGTTAGTCTCTAGACATTAGATGAACACAGAATTTATACACAATTACAAGTAGTGAGTTTGTTGAATATTAAGTAAATCAAATCTTGGTTGCTTGTAATTTAAGATTTTTTTTCCTCTTTTTATTTTTTTAAATTTTTTTAATGTTTGTTTGTTAAGGGGTTTTGTGTGGTTGCTTTTGTCTCCATTTCAGTCTTGTTTAGAGCACTCTATGTGTTCAGCCCCACTTTACCTGCTACGCTATTTCTCTTTCTGAGACCCATCTTGAAGTACGTACGTTCACTTGTCAACCACACTCACAACACCCTCTGCTACTATTGCCAGTATGCAAATAGGAGCAGCAACGAGTCTGGGACAGAAAGACATTACCTGAAAGTCGTGTGAAAGACAAAGTATCTTTTGGGCAATGTTGTGCAATTGCACAGTGTCTATTATAAAAAGAGTGATCTTTTGTGACCCAAAGGTAAAATACATATGTAAATACATATATATATATATATATATATATTTTTTTTCAGGATAATAAGTTATCAATGGTTATCACTGTTAACCAGTGCATTGTTAATTACACTATTGTGCATAAGTAAAAAATATACTTAGTTAACAGGTTTTTTTTCATTATTATTTTCAGAATGGAGAGTATATTATGTCATTGGATTGTGGCCAATTTACAAGAGTTGAAAATATGTCTCAGAAAAATGTATACAGGACTCCATCCTCATGTGCATGAGTGGTTAATCTTGTTTGAGCAACTTGGCTGATCTCAGCTGATAGGATACAACATACTGAAGAGGTCATGTTCTCTGAAACAGATGGCTCAAGCCAAAAAAAAGCATGACAAATGATAAATATTTTCTCAATATGTAATTGCATTCACTCTCAGCAGCATTGAACAGCCCCAATCCAACATGCAATCTGTATGAGGTCTCAGGATGACCTCACCTCTTCATACTAAAGCCTTCTTTTGAGCTCTGCTCTTTTATTTATTTTAAGATGAAATTATTATGATTTACTTCTGAAAGAAATTCTGAAGACATTTCTGTTGCCTCATCATGGCCAAATCCTGTAATCTGCTTGAACCCTCGTAACTCTCAAATTCACTCACCGCATGTGCAGATTATTTCAGGTGTTGGTCCTCAGGATCAGGCTGATGTCATCATTATTCCTGAAACACAAAATATGTTTCATGAAGCATATGAAAGTTACAGAAATACTTGAGGCAATTTTTCAGGACTAGATCATCAGCTGGTTTAACGTGACATCAATGGAAAAATGCCAACTTACCCTGAGATTTGGCTTCCAAACTGGTGCCTGAAGAATTTTATGTGAGAAAATATGTTGATGCCAGTCTTTGAAAGCAGGAGTTATTTTCTGTGTGAAATTAATGTAGGTTGAAAAAAAAAGCCTACTAAATTTGATACTAATGAAGAATCTTGGCAAGAAGAGGTCACATATGAAGTTCAAGACTAGTGCACAAAGGTAGCATTAAAAAAAAAAAAAAAAAAAAAAAAGAATATTTGGAAAATAGCCTAAAGGCTCTGAGTTAAATAAACTCTCTTATTCTATTGGGATTTTTTGGTTTCCTTATATTGTAATGTAAATTTCCACCCCAAGAAATGTCCTGATCTATACTTTAATGAGCCTGTCCACGTGGCATACATTTTTTGTTTCATTACTATTAGTGAATGACAAGTGAAGGATATTCATTTTAACTTGAAAATGTCAGGTACGCACTTTAAGAGATATATTTTTCCAGTTTTTAATGAGGTGGTGTTTCTTTTGGAAAGAAATACCCATCTCTGATGTAGGTACTATGCAGATGACAACTGATATTTAATAAGTGATGGTTCTTGTATTAGTCGTAGTTCACTAAAGAAAATGTCTCGGATTGCTTTTGAAAAACTCTTAGCATCACTAGCCCAAAGGCAAGATGTGACCTTTTTATTACATAATGAGAATCATTTATTATCTTACAATGTATCTTAAAGTCACAGACAAAATGCCACTTTGATAATTGCTTTCAATTAGCTTTGAGCATAGCATACATTCATAAAATGTCTTCTCTAATTTAGACTTGAATTAGAGAAAATTGCAGACATAATCTACTTTAAGGTTGTCTCATATAAGGTGATTCGTAATTTTATATCAAAGAAATCAAAAATGGGTGGCTTTAGAGCAGTCTTGCAAAGTGTTTTAAATAGGATTTTCAATATTTGAGTCTATTCTACTAATAATTAATGAACAAATTAGAATCCTAGTTCATCCTTTTTTACCCTTTTTATGTGTTAATTTTTTGCTTTCATTCATAGTGCTTATTTTGAAATTAAATAGTGTCCTGTGTTAGAAAACAGATACAGCTTGATTAGAAATGTAAACAGAGCATACAGTGATACAGCCTCTATCTTAGTGATAGGCAACAGTTTGGTCTTTCATCATGTGTGTCCAACTTCTAAATTCTCATCTTCTATGTATTCTATATTTTACATGTAAGTAAAATATTCAGCAGCATGCAGAATGTCCCACAGTCAAGAAGTAAGATCAGATATCAGCCTGCATTTTTTGTATACTATTTGTAACATTGATTGCATGTATAATTGAAAGTATTTGTGGTAACAATGATTATACATACATTGGCTTACTGAATATGTAGCATCATTCAAAAAAAACAAAGGTCTTTTTCTTTCCTTGATTGATTAAATGAAGGTTTAGAAATTGTAAGTAAAGATGATTCAGACATTTCAGATACTTGTACATAGGAATTTAACTAGCTCAAGGGATAACTGTGATTTTCTTCTTTCTTCCCTCAGATAAAAATTACCCACAAGAACCAAGCCCCTATGTTGATGGGTCCTCCTCCAAAAACTGGTCTTTTCTCTTCTATCATCAAAAGAACAAGGCACCACAGCAAGGAATAAGTGTGTGTAGTTTAGTTTTTAGAAAATCAATTAGCTTTGTTGGGCTTTGGAATATTTATGCTGGAAATCTTTCAAAAATTTTAGAATATCTTCTACTTGCAAATTCATGGATTTTCATTTAATAGTTTCTGTAACTGAGCTGATGTAAAACTATGTTATTAGAAAAAAAGTTATTGTCACAGGTTTGTAGGCATTTTGCATGAAGAAAGCAGATGTTTACATAAGATGATACAGCATTTTTTTTGTTGTTGTTGTTGCATGAAGTGCCATTTATTAATCTATGGGATAATTCTGCCATGGGATATAAGAAGAGAATGCCATGGGTAATTTGATTTTCTCTCCTTTGCATTTCTATTTTTTTGTTTGTGCTTTTTTCTATTATAACGATCATTTGCAATAAGTTCAGTAGTGTCTCTTGAATCAAACATCTCCACATCAATACCAATGAGACCTGGTTCAGAGTAAATATTACCGGTCTCATTAACTTTTACTTATATTTTATCATTTGTTTCTACCTTGAGAATATTTTTATTCAGCTAAGTATTCAAATCTTAAATCTTATTCTGATAACTCCTATGTATGTAACTGTACCTGCTGAAAACTTAAAATTCATTGTATGCAATATTCAAATGATTATGATTATTCTTGTGTAGGTTTTTGCAAGACTTGAAGTTTGAGTAAAAATTATCTGGTTAAAGAGATCATTCAAAGATTGAAGATAGTAGTGTTTGCAAAAGTAGCTATCAGTGTCATTTGTTGAAACACTAGAATCATTTTCATGAGCAATACAACTCTGGAGCATAGCAAACTTTAAATCATTCTGCATTATTGACCAATAGTATTGCGTGTATGCACACAAATAACCAAAGCTCATGCTTAATAAAGTGCATTTCCCACCAAAGATTTAGTGAAGGATACTTCAGAGAAATAGGTTAATTCATAACTAATCAAGATCACTGGAGTAGACTCACCTCTGAAAATTTAGAGTTCTTTTTTTTTTTTTGGCAATTTCCTTAAAAACTTTTGGTTGGGAAAAAAAAAAAAAAAAAAAAAAAAAAAAAAACCATTAAATTGCAAAGAAATAATTTTCATCTATTTCATAAGCTGATAAACACATATTCTAAATATTGAAACATACATAGTTTAAACATTGGAAAATTAAATATATTTCTAATTTTATTTTAATTATTATTTATATATCTATGCTATCCATAGTTTACTTGTCCTATGAATTAATATATTAAGGAAAGGATAAACTAGTATCCATTTCCCTTTCGTAGTCTGTTGCCTGGAATAAAAACATCTCTAGTAATAAATTTGGGGGAAACAATTTTCCAGATTTTTACTTAGCCCTCTGAGAGACTTCCTAACAGCTTAGAAATCATAGTACAGGGATTTGTCTGAGGTTTGCACAACATTGTCTAATGTTGAAGGGAAGTCCAAGAATGGCAACTTTTTTTAGTCTTGCATATCAACAGGCTCAATCAAAACTTCTGTGCAGTCTTAACATTGTTCTTTGCTCAGAGTGAGCTGCTTCTCATCCCTGCATGTCTTAAGTTCTCAGAAATTTCATCAAAAAAAGACAAAAAAAGTAAAACTTTGCGTGAAATGCATGATTTCCCATTTTTATCTAGATTTTTAAATGTTAATGTTTATTAAATCTATTTTTCTATTGATTCATTCCTCCATCAAAAGATATTATTTGATTGTTCTGTAGTGCACGATACTGTGCATGTACTTAAAGTTGACATAATTTCTTCCTCAGTAAGAATTCAACAGAACCCTAATTTATATAATAGACGCCGAAATAAAAGTCAGTATATAGTTGGTAACACTTATGATTTTGAAATATACAATCAGTGTTCTGTAAACATTAGGAGGTAAATACTGATTAATGTTATGTTCAGCATTAGGTAGAAAAATAGGGGTTAATTATTTGCTAAAATTAAGATCTTCTAGTTCCCCATTCTTGGGTCCAGTGATGGGTCCAATTAGTTACCATACTAGCGAACTCCTTTTTTTCCAGTGCATTGCAAGCTTACAAACACAAAAGTATTCAATGCACATGTTGACTGCAAATGTATGTGATTATAGAAGTAACGGTATCTGCAAAGAGAAGGAACTTGCTGACATAATATTACATAAAGTGCACATTGGTTTTATGAAATTATAGGTGTTATATAGAGGTTATAGGTGATATTTTCAGATAATTTGACATAGGATTTTCTACCAATGCTCTTAACTTTTTGTGGCAAAGATGTGTTTAATGATAATATATAATGTTCTCTGTGATTATCTCATGAACATTGTAACTTTGAAAACAAATAAAAAGATACATAAGCTATTCTTTAATAATGTATGCAATTTTAAAAGTGCCAGTCTGAATAGAAAATTGTTCACAACATGCTTTTTCATATAAAGAGGAATAGATGGTTAATCATGTAATCACAATTACATACAGTTCTGATTAGTTGTATAAAAGGTAAATCCAGATGCATTTGTCAGTTTGTATCAATTCTTACGGTAGCAAAGTATAATGGAGCAGCTATTATACTACATATTGACACATGATATCAGTGACATCCTGTCTGTCTGTAAATTGTGTTTATTTGTTTACAGTGGCCTCTAATAATATAAAACCATGATCAAGTTGAATGTGTTGATGAAAAGCTTAGAGCACATAAAACATTCTATGAAAGGAAATGTTTGGTGTAATGAAAGAGAATTTCTTTTTTTTTTTTCTCTTGCACTTCAATGTGTGCAGAACTAGCATTGTGAAGTTACATTTTTGTATAGGAAGTGAAGCTATGAATATATGTATGTATAGATGAACTGTTCTTATGTTGACTGGATATTAAGAGTAGTACCTGTAAACCTTCCACAGTTTACAGTGAGGTATTCCTTAAGGTCTCATTAATGACATTTACAACGTGAATGGAAATTATAACAATGTAGAAATTATGTCTGGCACTGAATTGGCAAATTTTTCATCTCCCTAGTAGGATGTTGCAGGTGGCCAATGTGCTGAGGAAAGCATCACTTTCAATTCATTTCCTATTAAAGTCAGAATTTGGTGCAGAGACTAATACAGTGTTACTGCTTCCAGTACTTGCAAGGTATTTATATGTATGCCGTCACAATTATTTAAAGCTGGTGGTTAGATGTCATGTTTTGTGATTATTGGAGTGTGTATGCGTACACTAGATCAGGTAACATGCTAATACACTTAGGACTTTGATGATCTAAGAAACATTTAATATTAGTTTCTGAAACAGGTAGATGCCCTATAACATAGTCTCATTCTCATCAACTGTTTTATTACATGTAAGTCGTACCAATGATTACTTAATATTTAAAATTATCTATTGCAAATAAAGTTGACAAGTCATCATGTCTGAAAATATCAGTGAAAGAAGTAATTGCAGTCAGAGTATCTGTGTTTGCCGTTATAAGAAACTAAGAGAAAAACATCCTTTTTTAAGTGTGGTTGATTTCTTTTGCTGTTTCTGTTGGTTTTATTTTGTTGGTTTGGTTTTTTGTTTGTTTGTTTTTGGTTTTTTTTTTTTTTTTTTTGGAGTTGATGTTTCTTTTATTGCTGAGACTATGGATGTTCAGACATTTCCAACAAGCTTGTCTATTCACAATTTAAGATACTAGCAATATTCTGTAAGTTACTTCAATCCCAACTTGTTACTGGGACTTATAACTTTGGCAAAGATCGTAGGAAGGAAGACTTCCTGGGAAGCAGCCACTTTAAAGGAGTGTATCCATCACCTGTCTGGAGAAGACTAAAGGAAATGGCTGCAAATCTGAAAAAAAAAAAAAAAGAAAAAAATCCAGAATAATTACCTCTAGACAAGAAATTCAGGGAAGAACAGAGATGAACTCTGATAAGCAATGAAAAAAAAACCAAATGTTAAAAGTGATATGCAAAAAAATGTACAAAACACACCACAAAAATTGTGTGGGGCCAGAGAGGCCAGGTAAAGTTATTTGAGACTAATGAGAATTGATGTGCCAACAAAATTAATTACATTAATCTGGAGTCTTGTTCTACTTAGAATGAGGGATGTGGATGGTGTTGTTGTTTTTTGTTTATTTTTTTTCTTTTGTGGGGAGTGTCATAGGAGTTAGATCCAAGTGGAACCTCATTCAGCCTTTCCAGTGAAGGGAGAAAGATTTGTGAATGAAAGAAAGATATATAATATCTTATATATAATTGTATGGGAACTGCTGAGTCACGGCCTGAACCACTGATTGATCGCCTGAGGCAAGGACTAAGTCAGACATGGGAGCACAGGTGAAGGCAGTTCACCTGTGTGACTGGAAGGGGTGGAGCCTGGCTGTACCTCTCTTTGACCTCAATTAAGGGCTGATTGCCACAGAGGAGAGATCTCTTTCTGGAGATTCCTGGTATTTTCTACTGTGAGCCTAAGACATGGGTGAGCATTTCATTTTTGATTGTCTTCCATCGTGGTAATCTTTCTAACTGCAAACCTGTAAAATACCATCCTAACCACACCACTCTTCTAACTGTGCTTTTGTTAACTGTACATATAATTAAACAGGTAAAGAATCTTCTAGGCTGGATGCTTTCATAATTTGGAAAAAAAAAAAAAATTGGCCTTGCTTTTAATTAAGCTGTGCAAAACTGCTAAGCAGTTAGCAGGAAAGTTAATAAATGAATTTAGAAAGCTGAGGTGGTTACAAGAACTGCTCCATGTTTTATGTAAGAGTGGTAAAGAATATGCCAACCTCTTGTCAGATAATTGCTACTTGTCTCTAGCTCTACGAGGTCTGAAAGCATTTTGTTTTCCTTGTATATAAGGAAGGAAACTTCTTGTGGTCCTGTTGAGGTGAGTAAAAGCCTTGCAGTACCCCTGGCTGGAAAATAAATCAACATGCCAGATCTGGAAGTTAAATCTCCATTAAAGAAATATAAACTAATAGGTGAACATTCATGGCACATGAGGATCTGAGGACGAGCTGTGCAGGAATGCTCATTTGATGGTGCAAGCTCTGTCCAGGTTTGTCAAAGTTATTTGTTTTCTGTCAAACCTGGTCTTCTTCTATGGAGGGCCTGCTGGGTTATGTACCCTAGCTAGCAATCAGTTGCTGGATATTATGCTAATTTTTAAATAAGTGCATTTGATCTCTCCTGTGAAGTTGTTCTGTGGCCAAGAAGCCTTTTGGAAGAATACAATATTTGGGGCAGGAAAATTTAAACAACTTGTTGTCAGATAGCTTTTTATTTGGATGCAGCAGAAGTATTGTCAAGTTCATAGAGGTTTCATGGAGCCCTGTGCAGGAATAGGGTTGTTTTATTACTGTGCCCACTGCAGCATCATTGAGCCATTTCCAGTTTTTGTTCTTTGTAAAACTAGTTTCTGCTTTTCAGCAAGTCCTGCACCTCTTGTAATGCCTGTTCCAGTTGGGGCTGAGAGGACAGGAGAAGAGTAGTCACATGAATGTAGTAATGAGTATCTTGGTAGGCACCATTGCCTTTGCAGGCATAGAGTGAAATTGAAGTGTGGCTTCAGTATCTTTCAGGAGAAAACGAGCAAAGAAAAAAATGAAGTAGAAAATCTCTGTACCATCACTTCTTTCAGAAAATAATAATGCATTATAATGAATCTTGCATAGTAGTAAAGTTTTTTTTTAAGTTAGTTAAGTAGCAATTACTGTATTTGTGTGTGTGTGTGCGTGAGGTAGGGGTATGGACAGACCTTTCCCATTATCGGTTTATCTTAAATTAACAAGAATAGCTGAAGAAGGTAAACTTCTACATTAACCATCATCTCCATTTTGTCAAACTGCCCTACGGTTTAAAGTTATAAATAGGTATGTTGTAAGCACGGAGAATTTCAGCATGGTGGTATTTCAGAGACTGCTTCCTTTCTTTCTGATTCATGATTCAAAGAGAGTACATGAGAAGCACCTCAGGGCGCTCTTTAAATATGACTAATGCGAAGAGTAAGTGATAATCAC